ACCACTTCTTGTATTGATCGTTGTGGACTCCGTTAAGATGGCATCTTGCTGGGTTTTGTTAAGATAATTGTCTTGAGTCTGAATTTGGTGCCAAGAATGAGGAATGTTGAATTGCATCCAAAAACCAAGAATTATGTTGTTTTGGCGGTTGGAATGGAGTGTACAACAGCAAGAAATTGCTTGGCTGCTATGGAGGAAGGATCTTGTTTTCTTATTGGACAATTTCTTGGAAATTTGGATGTCTTGGATAACAACAAGAAAGTGTCCATTTGTGTATTAGGGACCCACACACAATCGTTCGGGACGTGGTCATGGAGGGGTTGGTTCAGACACCCAGGGCCACAGGCGAGTCAGTGACATACGCAGGGGCGAACAAGAGCAGGTGAGTCGCATATGGAGCGAAAGTAGGACAAAGGTGAGCCGCATGGGTGGCAGGCACTGATCAAGTTGTATGGTTGGTTTTGCACGTGCATGCGAACCGATTTAAGCATGTGGGCCCAGGACGCAATACCACAGGGCTCATGGCCCGGGTTCGAGGGATTGGGCCGTCGGATGCGCACGAAAGTGATCAGGTTGGTCACATGAATGAGACTTATGGAAGTGAACCTGCAAGAAGAAACAATGGCTTCAGAATCCATAAATCAAAACAGAGCTAAAGAAAACAATTATTATCATCCCTTCCTATTACACTCCAAACTAACTTTTTATAATGTTTGGTGGGCTACATAATTGGTTATAAGAGCAAACAACACAGCCTACAGGATAATGCCACAAAGAAAACAAATAAACTTTAAAAACTGTACTAAAACACATTAATTAGCCAATTATGGAGACAAGTAACAGCTCCGGCATCATAACCAATATTCGAGTCTAAATCTTTTTCATTGGCAATTAAGACTCTCAAAATCAACAGGCCAATATTTGTTGCTTGATAAACTACAGTTTGCGCGAGCACCTATAAAAAAAGGAGGTTCAGATTAATCATGGTAGATCATAAAACAACAAAATGTGAATTCCATCCAAGATTAAATATAAAAAAAATATCTCAGGTTAGTTGCTAAGATCAAGCATCTGAATTGGCGCGAGTGCCAAGAGTAGTGAAGAAGATTAAGGCTTCGTTTGTGACATCTTTTTTTATGCTTCTTAAAGCAGTTTTCTAGTATAAAAATTTAAATTTTTGTATTAAAAAGCTGCTTTAAGAAGCTGCGAGAAAGCCGCTCCAAACGAAGCCTAAGGCTTCATTTGGGGTGGTTTTACTTTTGCTTTTTAAAGCAGATTTTTGTACTAGAAGACCACTTTACACGAAGCAATAATAAAGACGTCCCAAATGAAGCCTAAAGCTTCTTTTGGGACGGCTTTCTTATTACTTTTTAGAGCAGTTTTGTTGTGAAAACATTTCTAGTTCTAAAAAAATTTTATGCTAAAAAGCTGTTTTAGAAAGCAATAACAAAGCTGTCACAAATGAAGCCTAAAAAATAGCATCAAATCGAGCGCCAAAAAGCCTGATTGAATTACACATTGATGTCGGTAATCATAAAAGCCTTCAAAAACAAATCTCAGAATAATGAAGCTCTCAAAGAAAATATTAAGAATAGCATCATATAAGAATTATTCCAACAAACAAAACCGATACAGTATAAGCACGTGAGTTCATAAAAGGTAGCAGTTGCCAAATAAGAACCATTCCAACAAATTGTCCCAATGAACTACAAAAGCAGTGCAATATTGTGGTAATTCACAGCAGATGGTATTTGATACCACATAAAATAAAATAATTATAACAGTTGTGATGAAGGGCAGTATAGAACATCATGTAAGCAGTATATCTTCTGCTACTCTTTCTAAGTGATATCCAGCCGAACTCAAAACGACTGTAAGGCGTAGCTAGTTTGTGCCATTCGAACTGCAAAAAAAAAAACTAATTGGTGGAGGGTGAACAGTGCAATGTTAGCGTTGCACTGCTCACCTATGCGATTTTTCTGTTTCAACCGGATTTGCAGAAGAAACACGCGAAAGAGGAGAAAAACTATTACCTTCGCAAAAGCGCGCAAAATGAAGTTTGAATGGAGATGAATCACAACATTTTTGAGTTTCATTGCATTTTGGAGAAAAAAAAAATGGGATTTTCGGTTGTAGATGCCCTTACCTTTGTGGATGTATTGATATTAGTTGTGTTGAAACTTAATTGGCTTATTAAACTATAGTTTATTCTCCTTTGAATTCTCTTTCAGTTGTCTGTGAGGAACTCATTTTCGTAATTATCTGTGTGGTTTCATAATAGGAATATTTGAGCCCTGTGTAGGAAATTAGTTGTGTCAAGCAAGGCTGTTAACTTTTCTCAAATGTAGATCTCAAAGCTAAGGCAAGGGATCAGAGCATGATAGATGTTGGTATAAACGCAAAGCTTATAGAAACTTGAAGAGTATGTTGTACAGTGATGAAGGACAATGGTTCAACAAGACCGCATCTTCTCAACCGTTATAACTAATTTTCTGATCTATTTGCATTAAAGTTATATCCTTACTATTAGTTTTGACACAACTCTCCTTGGCCTATTGGTTGAGAGCTTAGGCTTGCAACTAAGATGTCTAAGGTTCGAGTATATGTGTATGCGTTGTGTGTGTGAGTTTGCCTTAAATGGCCTAAATGTCCCAAAAAAAAAAAAACTATTAGTTTTGACCAGTAAATTATTAGATAGCTTTTAGGCTGTTGGCTCCTATTGTGGTAACCATCTTACATTGTGAATTTGTATGGTTTTGAAGAATAGCTTTTGATATTTTGGAACATAGAAGAAGAGTAGTTCCATTGGTCCCAATTAGCCTCCTTTTTTCTACACTATTTTTCCATTTATTGGTTTTCTATACATTAGTGGTATCAAAGTTAGTACTGGCTGGTGATTGCAGAAGGTAGCACTAGTCGGCAACTGACGACTATCCAAACCTAGAATCTCTTTGGGAGGCACAATTTAGATTGGGGTAGTGAGTCAATGAATACACCAAAGTTTTTTAGGTTCGCTGTTGAAATACGACAAGAAATCTATAAATACCCAAATAAATAGGAACCTTACCTATAGGATTGACAACTAGGCCATCTCTATAGAACATTCCCACAACGTAATATAATTATTTACTCTCCAATTATCACGGTTATATTCGTCAACTGGAGATTATTCGTGCAAGGATGATAAATATCAATGACATTATGAGTTGTCTAATGTCTAAACATATGTGGGAAGCAACTCCCATGACATTCTTGGTGATGACATCACTCTCTATATAAACATTTCAATGAATTTTGTGCAAAAATTAATATTCCCTCCATTGATGTTCATGTCCATATAGAAGATTCTCTAGATTGGAAACAATATTTTTAAATTTACTTTGAATACATTAAATACCCTAATAAGAGAGTGAAGTATGTAGCTTACAAATTAAAAGGAGGAGCTAGTGCTAGGTGGGTGTAATAACTCTAGTCCTTGCAATGAGAGGGAAAGGATCCAGATCAGAGTTGGTGTGTATGAAACAATTGCTATGAGGTCCCTTCTTACCAACAAATTTTGAATAAATATTTTTTCAATCCTATCAACATTGTTGATAAGGCTGGTATCCTAAACAAAAATATAGAAGAATTTTATAAGCTGAGTGCAACAGATAATTTGAATGACTACGTTAATCAATTGGTGGTACAACAAATGCGAGGCCTTGAGGCCTTAAGGACATAACAAGGGAATTTTATATGGAGGATATGCTCTTGTTCAAATTCTTTCAGTCTTTACCAATTCAGATTTTGTTGTATGCTTACATACAAGGAGATCAATCTGAGATTGTATTGTTTCAATTTTTGGAGGAATTATTAGCTAGAAATCTTCCCTTCAATGCACAATTTCATTATCCTTATCCGAAATTAAGTTTACCCTATTAAACTAATCACAAAAAGAATTTAACTATAGGGTTTTTAAAAGAAGTTGGGATTTTTACTAAACATATTTATTATATGTTATGATAATCAAAGTATTATCTATCTCATGCTAAATCTACTTTTTTTATGAGAGAAAACAAAACACATTCATGACAAGTTATGCTTCATAAGAAATAGCATTACTAAATATAATGTTATTGTCAAAGCATCTAAAATGAACCCCGGATATGTTATAACTAAATGTATCCCCATAGCAAAATTGAATGTCCATAAAAAATTTGTTAATTATTGCCTGAATAAAATAGATCAATACCTAAATCAAGGTAGAGATTGTTCGGATAATAAGTGATCTACGATTGATCAAATCTTTATTTTGGTTAGTTTCAGCTTTCTTTCTTTTAATGAGTTTGATAGATATAAATAAGGGTAAGAAGGTCAATTTATTGAGTCCTCCCACTTGACGTAGAGATACGTCCTCCCACCGCAAAAAAACTCGATTTTTGCTCGGTATTGCTAGGTATTATTTGATAATAACGAGGAATATCATAATGTGAAGATCAATACCGAGTTATACCGAGCTATACCGAGCAATACAAAAAAATACCGAGTTTTTTCTAGGAAAAACTAGGTATTTTTTTATATTACTCCGTATAGCTCGGTATAACTCGGTATTGGTCTTCACATGATGATATTCCTCGTTATTGTTTGGTATTGCTCGGTATTTGCTCGGTATTTCTCATTTTGTAGCGCGATTTTAGCTCTGGGAGGACGTATCTCTACGTCAGGTGGGAGGACGCAATAATCCTGAAATTGTATCTACAATTCAGAGTCATAAAATTTATTTGTTAACTTTATTGGTTTATTAGTCCGGTATTTTAGCTATTAACTAACAGTTTTTGAGTTCAAAGCTAAAATGTTTAAAAAGAACAAACAAAAAAACAAAAATTCTGTTCTTTTTGGAATTTCTGCTGCTGGTGAATGTGATGAACCGCTGATATTGATTAATTCCTCTGATATCTCACGGAGATCAAGAAAACTTTCAGATAACTAAATTTTAAAAATAAACAATAAATCCATTTTTTTTTTTTTTTTGCGGGAGAAAATTAAGGGAATTCGAAGTACCCTGAAATGGTTGCATAGCGGTAGCTTTTAATACACAAATAATTACTCATCAACCAATACCTACCAACTTTATTTGCTTGCCTCAGCACTCATTGCGATCACTGCCACCTCTTACTCCTTTCACCCTCTTCTCTATTAAGTGAATGCGGCTTGCCTTGTTATGCCCTGCATTTGCCTCCTTCATCTCTTCTCCATCCCTGCCGATGACCGGAAGCTCAGCAAGATGTCTGCCTCTCCTCCTTGCTGTTCTCCATTTTATCTCATCCCTCGGCAATGCCGATGCGCACAATCACTCCACCAAGACTTATATCGTTCAAATGGCTAAATCAGAGATGCCTACTTCCTTTTCTCACCACCTCAACTGGTACGCATCCCTCGTCCAATCATCAGCGAACTCTGGAGAAAATGAAGCAACAAAGAGGATCATTTACAGTTACGAACACGCCTTTCATGGCTTCGCCGTCCTGCTCAGCGAAGCTGAGGCAGAGCATCTCGAGGCTTACGCAGGCGTCGTCAACATTCTCCCTGAAACTGCTTACAATTTGCATACTACCCGAAGCCCAGAGTTTCTCGGCATCGAGTCCGAAACTACAAACAGCGACCTTCCCACAGCGGTCGCCGAGCACGACGTCATTGTAGGGGTGCTCGATACCGGAATCTGGCCGGAGAGCCCGAGCTTCGGCGACAGGGGCATGTCCCCTGTTCCAAGACGATGGAAAGGTGTCTGCGAGACCGGTCGTGGTTTCACACTCAGCAATTGCAACCGAAAGATAGTCGGCGCACGGATCTTCTACCGCGGCTACGAAGCTGCCACCGGGGCCATCGACGAGAAGGCGGAGTACAAATCTCCAAGGGATCAAGACGGGCACGGTACCCACACTGCCGCCACCGTCGTTGGAGTTCCTGTGGCCGGCGCCAACCTCCTGGGCTACGCCCGAGGCACAGCACGCGGAATGGCGCCTCGCGCCCGCATCGCCGCATACAAAGTGTGCTGGAGCGGCGGTTGCTTCAGCTCCGACATTTTGGCGGCCGTCGACCAGGCTGTCGCTGATGGGGTGGACGTCCTTTCCATCTCCCTCGGCGGTGGGATCTCTTCCTACTACCGCGACAGCCTCTCCGTGGCGGCATTTGGAGCAATGGAGCAGGGTGTCTTCGTCGCTTGCTCCGCCGGAAACGGCGGCCCGGACCCGATCAGCCTCACCAACGTCTCGCCGTGGATAGCCACTGTCGGAGCGAGCACAATGGACCGCGATTTCCCGGCTACGGTTCGGCTAGGGAACGGCGTCAATTTGACAGGCGTCTCGCTCTACAAAGGTCTCCGGAATCTCTCCCAGCAGCGGCAGTACTCCCTCGTCTACATGGGCGCCAATCTCACCAACCCGGATCCGAGATCTCTATGCCTTGAAGGGACCCTCGACCCCCGCTTCGTCTCCGGCAAGATCGTGATTTGCGATAGAGGCGTCAGCCCTCGGGTGGAGAAAGGTCAGGTCGTAAAACAAGCTGGCGGCGTCGGCATGATCCTAGCAAACACCGCTGCAAATGGAGAAGAACTCGTCGCCGACAGCCACCTCCTTCCCGCGGTAGCCGTTGGCGGGACAGCCGGCACGGCGATTAAGCGTTACATCAATATTAACCCCCATGCGACCGCGACGCTTACATTCGAGGGCACTAAAGTCGGGATCCGACCATCTCCCGTCGTCGCCGCCTTCTCCTCCAGAGGCCCCAACTTTCTCACCCTTGAAATCCTAAAACCTGACATGGTGGCACCGGGAGTGAACATCCTGGCTGCATGGAGCGGGGACGCCAGCCCCTCAGGCCTCGCAGTCGACCTCCGCCGCGTCGGCTTCAACATCCTTTCTGGAACCTCCATGTCCTGCCCTCACGTCGGAGGAATCGCAGCCCTGTTAAAGGCCCGCCATCCAAACTGGAGCCCGGCGGCAATCAAGTCCGCTCTGATGACCACCGCCTACGTCCACGATAACACCTTGCAGCCCCTCAGGGACGCCGCCACTACAGCACAGTCAACTCCCTACGACCACGGCGCAGGCCATATCCATCCGCTGAAAGCTTTAGATCCGGGGCTTGTCTATGACATATCTCCCAATGATTACTTCGAATTTCTCTGTACTCAGAAGCTGACTCCCATTCAACTAAAGGTCTTCACCAAGACCTCAAATCGATCGTGCAAGCACTCGTTAGCCAGCGCCGGGGATCTCAATTACCCGGCCATCTCCGCCGTTATTCCGGATACCAACACTTCGACATTGCTACAGCTACATAGAACCGTGACCAACGTTGGGCGTGCGAATTCGACCTACCATGTAAAGATTTCACCGCCCAGAGGAGCAGAGGTGGTGGTGGAGCCAACTGTGCTTCGCTTCAGTCGCCAAAACCAGAAGCTTTCCTACACCGTGAGCTTCAGAACAAAAGCCACGCAGTCAACGCCGGAGTTTGGGGCACTGACTTGGCACGACGGAACACATTCTGTTCGAAGCCCGGTGGCAATAACGTGGCTGCCCCCGTCATAAATAACTTGATATGGCATCATTTCCGGAATCTGATTTTATTTGTATCAAATGAGAAATGATAAAGTTGCAAATCACAATTATGTATTACATCATCTGATTCCGGAGCTTGTTTTTATTTGAGTAATTTATCATGAAATATCATTGTTGTCATGTTTGTTTGCTTGTTTTTTTTTTTCCAAATCTTATGATTCTCTTTAACTTGAAATTCTTTGTTAAGACGATATAAATGTCGTAATTTTCTTAAAAAAATAATAATAACCAATTTTTTTCTTGGACAGTTTTCTTATTAACTTTTTAGAACAGCTTTTTTATTGACCTCTTAGATTTTATTTGAGATAATTTTTTTATTTTTTTTAAACATTCGCTGCTCTTCCTTGGACCAATGTTTTGTCTGTCCAAAGATCTGACCTACAAGAACTTCCTATTTTCTTCATCCATACAAGCGGGGACTAACCTATTTTCTAAGGATTTCCTCTCTAAAGACTCTTTGGATTGGAACCTCTCGCTGATTGACTACTCTAGTGGTAAGAGATTGTATTATGAGAGACTGCTTGGAGCTATTCGTAAGACAAGAAAACTCAAAGGTACGCTCCAGCTACTCTCACTAACGGATGATTTCTCTTCTTAAGTTCTCCTCTCCGGAGGATTATGATATGACTTGGGCCGAGAGTCTGATTTTTTTCTTGGAAGACCTTTCCTCCTTCAAAAGCTCTCACCCATTTTTCAACCTCAGCGCGAGAATTCCTCCTCTATCCCGATATGGTTAAAAATTCATAATCTCCCTTGACTTGTTGGAACTCTAAGAGAATTTTTAAAATTGCTAGCAAGATTGGAATTCCTTTAACGATGGACCCCCTTATAACTAAGAAGTTCAGGCTTATATATGTCAGAGTCTGTGTCCAAGTGAATAGCTCCATTATATATCCTGATTTTGTTCCCATAGTTTTAGAGAATGATGTGATAAATCTAAAAATTAAGTATGCATAGGACGTTCGTGCCCTGTGAATTATGCAATTCCCTTGTTCATCCTCCTTCTATCTGTCCAGCTAAACCAAATTCTGTTATTGATGTGGTTCTTAACAACCGTGGTAGTAGCACCTCCCGTCATTGTAGTAAACTTCCTCCCAGTTCCTCAAAAGTGGAGAGATTATTGGGTTCAGACACTGGACACAGCTTACGTTCGGTATTTCATAGTACCGAGTAGTACTAAGCTCGATATTGTGAAGTACTGAGTACCGAGCAAGCTCGGTACTGCTTGCTACTGCTTAGTACCAAGCTCGGTACCGAGTGGGAGGTGATGTGGCGCATTTTTATTGGCTTCCGAACAAGTTCGGTGTTCGAACCTAATAATTTGCCTCAAAAATGATGTGTCATCATTTATATATATATATTAATGAAGTATATACATTCTTAGTCAAAATTTGCAACCCATGCCAATTTCACGGCTTAACTATAATTCATAGTTCTAATAAATTTTTAGCTTCATTTTATAAGAGAATTTTAAGTGATTTTTTTATATAGTATACAACACAAACTATAAGCAACAAATAAAGCTACATGATGTGGAAGGCTAGTAGTTATATATTTTGATTAAATTTATTTACATATGCTATTAAAAAGAAATTAAAAAATAAAAAATAATTAATGGAAAATTTAATATAAAAAATTTATTTAAACCAACCAATTCGACCAAATCAAAATTTGTTCAACAAGAATTCAATGATTTTCATGTTGACTTGCCAGAGTGGCAGTTCAAACCAGCTTGCAGCGGTTCAACAACGTGAATTTGGTTTTCTAACTTGATAGGACCGACAATTTGACATATTCACGATCGAATCAACCAGTCGATCTGATCCAATTTTCAAAACATTGATGACATTGGCGGAGACAAGAATTTCTTTTTGTGGGGGCTCAAATTATGGATCTTAAAAAATTCTCAAACTTTATAATTTGTGATTGGGACTAGCATCAATGGTTAATAATTTAAGAACTTATTTGTTAGATTTGTTATCATAAAAAAATAAATTATATAGTTAGGAAAACTTACAATTAACAAAATACGTTATTTATATTATTCTTACATGTCACCAATAATAATTAGTAAAAATTCTCAAATTACATCATCTCCATAGAGAACTAACAACCAAAAGTTTCTACCAAAACTAATGAATTAACAGCTGCACTCAGCTCGACCACTCCCTAGTTCGACATGCGGCAGTCCCCACTTCTAGCCCTTCATTTATTTTTTTTAACCAAAACACAATTTTATTTAAAGAAAATAAAAAGGAGATTACAACAGCTAGAGGCCAGCACCCTGGGATACAAAAAGTAAGAACTCGCAAAACTAAGCATATAAAAATAATCAACGAGAGGGGACTCAGGATGGAGGCCCCCAGCACTAGCCTCGTATTCAAGCACGGACCATCCGTGCGCAATCTAGAATCCAGCAAGCCACAAACCAAGGCACTCAGGTTGCCAACCAGCCAAGCCAACAAGGGGAAGTAGGGGCCTCCTCATCATCATCCATGAAATCAACAAAAACCTCCGACGAAATCGCAAAGGCTAAAAACCAAACACAATTACTTCTTTCCTTTCCTTTTATGCTTGCTAACACTAGCATTATGAAAACCATGCCAAGCAGAGCGTCCAACCAAATCTTTCTCGCATATATGAAAGTGCTTATCTTCCCCACTAGAGGGGGAAGAGAGAGACTCATCTAAAATTAACCAGTCATTTTGAAGCAAAACAAAATTCTTCTCATACTTAGCCACATGATTTTTTATTTTAGCGTTAAACAACACAAAAATAGAAATATTAACAAAATTAACATTGCTCTCAAAGCCTATGTCGGAAGGTAAATCCGATTGAATCTGCTTATCTAAACCCAAATTAACCGAAGAAGAGGCAGCATCCTAATTAACGGGGGACACTTCCCGATTGGAGAACTAGAAGAACCTGACAACTCAGTGACCTTTTAAGGCATTCCATCCACTGTCAAACCACACGAGACATACGCAGTACTCTCACCAAACAAAACAAGTTTAGAATTAACATCACAAAACAATGCACCACCGTCACTAGCACAAAACCGAGAGACCTGGGCAACAGGTTTAACCCCAGCTACTACAGAAATCACCTGAGCTAAAGAAGGAGCAGTAATCACAAGTATAACACTCTCAGAAACCTCCACATTCCCCACATAATTTGCTATAGGGCCACAATCAACAACAATCTCCTTATTCGACCAATTCCCACAGAAAGCAAAGTCACAATAGGGGGAGGGGGAGAAGAACTAATCAAAGTAGGATTTAAAATCAATAAAGCAGCATGAGACAGAGTAGCTACCTTAGGACTCGAATTAATAGAAGCAATAACCTATAAATCAACCACATCTTTCGCCTAAACTTACCCAGCAACAATAGGACCAGGTTTAGCAAAATCAATAGACGGGTCAGTCGAAGGGGGAGGACGACATTTCCTAGATAAATGTCCAATGCATTTTCAAGAAGCACAAAAGGGAAGGGGAGGGGAATTCATCAAAGGAAACTTCCTGTACATCTCATAAACTCTTAGAATCTAACCAAACCTGGTTTAGATATGATTTAATAATATCAAGCTCCACAAGCCACGGAAGGCCAGGAACCCACAGAGGTAGCCGCATCAATTTTCAAGGGTTTACCAAATATTGCTCCCAAACCATGGAGTATATGAGGGCTATACATATGCGGCCGCAATTGCAGAAACGAAACCAAAATCGGGATAACAGGTAACTCAACGCCAACATCTAAGCTAGAAGACCATTTCGTGAGTTTCATGTAGCAGTTGAAACCAAGGTATGAATGATGACAAAATATCCTACAGTAGTCCAAATCATTTGCAAGTTTAATCAAAATGTGTGATGGGTTAAGCAAAGTGACTGAAACTTTATCGTTTAATTTTAGGTTAAAGAAGAACTTGCGAATGGAATAAAGAGAGAGTCTCTTAGTAGGGAAGTAACCAACTAAAGAAAATTGAATTAATGGGACGGCCAAATCGTTGATTTTATGGTCCGAAATTCACAAGGAAAGTAAACCACGAAACGTAGAGGTCTGTAGCTCATAAAGTAAAACATCGAGGTTGCCGGCACCAGCAAGGGGGAGGCCCTAGTGCGGAGAGAGAGAGAGAGATTCAAAGAAGACTCACGGTGACTGTGTTGATTCGACGTCGACAAAGAGATTATAGCAAGCCTCAAGGAAATAAGGAGAGCGATGGGAATGGGACTCTGGAGTGGATTATCTGAATGATTGAACCATTTGTAGGGATTTTTATACAATTAAAATTATCGAAAGTTCATAAATAAAATTTTTTTAAAAAATCATCCAGCCAATGGGTACATGTACCCACCAGTGCCTCCACCCTGACTCCGCTGCTAGCCGAGTGAAACACTAGCTATGGATCCTCCAAGGAATCAAGATACAAGCCTAATTGCAGCCTATGATATCATCATATAAACTAGTAAGCTGAGGCAATCTTAATGAGATTTTTTAAAGCATAAATTTAGCTAAGAGTAAGATAGAACATAAATAAATTTTCAAGCTTTGAAATGTCCAATTTATTATCTATCATTCAAGACTTTCAGTTGATTAATTCTGATTTCAGAACTATTTATTGAAGAATTTTTTCAATTGATGCTTAATAGCAAGGGTGTCAATATTTGACACGACACCGACGCGCTGTCCCACTCGCGTCCGCCCGCCGCGCTCGCGTCCCCCGCCGTCCGCCGCCGCCGTTCCGGCACCGGCCACCCTAACCGGGTCGGGTCGTGTCAACCCGGCAACCCGCCGGGTCGGATCCGGGTTCGGTTTTCCGACCCGTTTGTCTACCCGGGTCAGGTTAAGGTTGACCCGTTTGAACCCGGGTCAGTTCCGGGTTCGACCCGAACCGGACCCGTGACCCGAAATTGACACCCCTACTTAATAGGGACGGTCTTGAATTTAAAATTTGTGTGAACAGGAGCAGAACCAGAATTTTTTTTTTGTGAGGGCACAATTATTAGATCTTCAAAAGACCGTGAGCTTTTAATAATCTCGACAACAAATTAATAATAACTTCGATGTAGGGTTTAGTGCACAGTGAATTATAATAATTATTTCTAAAAAAATCTTCGAAAATAATGGAGACTAATTAGACAAATTAAAAATTTTAATTTTAAAGAGTAAAATTAAAACTTAATCTACTGAATTCAAAGTATATGAAAGACTTAAAACTATTTAAACTTAAATAAATTTTTAACACTGATATATCATAAAAATTTATCTTGATCGGGCGCTTCCATGATTCCATCATTAGAAGATTCATTATTAGCTTGGCCTCAAGCTTTAAGAGCAAAGTGTTGCTTTGAAAGCAGGGAGCTCATTAGTTCCTTTTGCCCAATCCATTCACAGTCAATAAAGACAACAGGTTTTCTTCTCTCAGCTAGTTTGAATGGAGGATATGTTGGATGAATTAGTGGTTAGTTGGGTTGAAAAGTTTGGAAGAAGAGTTCATCATGTAAGATGTCCTTTTTGACACTGAACAGATCCTTCTAATGGCTTCTCAGGAGAGACGACGAAAAATTATTAGGTGCGGAGTACGCACCGTCCGCACAAGTATAAGCAGGTGCTCGATATCCAGCACCCGTCATTACTTGTGACGGACGGTTCTTCCCGTCCGCACTCCGCACCTAATAATCTCTTTGAGACAACTGAGTCTAAACCAGAAGTTCTCAGTGAAGAATTAGTATACATATTTGCCTCTGAAAAAGAAGAAAAAACAAGTCATTGAGCCAGCGGCAGCGGTGCCCCTACCCTGATTTCGCCACTGTGCGTGAATTCGGTATAATAAATAAAAAAACAGAGGCGATCCAGCAGTATAATTATTAGCATTTAATGAAATTAATACACTTGAACTTGCGAAGACAGCTAACAAATAAAAATTTCTCTAATGAAGTGACCACGCCTACACAGTCATGAACTTTTATTTGGTTCGGTGTAAGGATGCAGAGGAACATTCGGTCATAGGTAAAATCGTGCCTATACCGAGGTGTACCATGAAAAAACTCGGTACACCTCGGTATAGGCGCGATTTTGCCTACGACCGAATGTTCCTCTGCATCCGGTCGGAGGACGTAATAATTCTTCCCACAGTCATAGCGAATCCATGTCTCGAAACTCAGGCCGGATACTTATGGTGACTATTTTCTACACATTTAAATTTATCACGAATATATGTACCAGCTGCAAACCATGGTCTGCTAAACACAGAAAAAACTCATATTAAGGGGAGGAAAAGTGAATATGAAGCATACTAAATGCTATGCAAATTCCTAAATATAGTCTATAGTGTATTTTATTCTAGTTTAATTTTGAGATAAAACATTCTCCTCTAATTTGGGCAAGAACACTTTACACCTCTGCCGTCACCAACCACTATTGTCGTCGTCACCGTAGCTAACCACTGCCGGCGGCCACCACCCACCACAGCCATCACCCTCCAACGCCTACTGCAGGCCATCCCGGGCATAACCTTTTCATAATTTATATTGCATTCAATTTATTTCAAATCAAACAAAAAAAATTATGCATTCACTTTTTTACATATCTAAACATCTTTAAAGTATAACTTTGCATTTTTTTTTCATGCAACGAAACAACATCTGAGTGTAATGTAAATGAATGTATTTACTTTTTATTATTGTAAAGTGAATGCACGGCCTAAATAAAAATATGAGCTTATTCAGTTTTGCTATATTAATTGTTAAATAAATCAATAAAATACAAATTATAAAAATTGACTTATTTTTAATAAATTATAGCCCAATAATATTTGAATTCACTTAAATATTCATGTGTTTAGCACCCGCGTGCGTTTGGTGTCATGCACCCGCACGACTTTCCTTAGCGGTTCATTTTGGGTTGACCCGAAACCAAATAAGATTGGGATCGGGTTCGGATAACCGACCCAATTCCATAGCCTGGTCGGTTTCAGGTCGAGTCAGTTAATAGCAGGTCAAGTTTGTGTTTGACCCGAATCCGACCCAAAGACCCGTTTTGACACCCCTAATACATGTGAACAATTTTCAAAGGTTATAACTTCCCTTCGTTAATTTTAAGGTCATTGCACATATTATGAAAAAAAAAAAGAGAGAAACCGAATGCAGAAAAATTATAAAAAAAAAAGAGGAAATTAGAAATCATCTTCCCTTATTATTCACTTAGGCCAATTGATCAACTTTTTTCTATTACACACTCGAATGAATAGTTTTATGCCTAATCAAATCAAAATTTAAGACTTTTCATTGGTCAAATTTGGGTATTCATATAAAATAAAAACTTATTTCTATTATTTTACCCTTAAGAAATAATTTAAAAGGAAAGCACTGATCAATTAATTAAATCAATGTATGTCAGATAGATCTTATGTAAAAGAAATAATATAAATCAGATAGATCTTAAATTCTACAAATAGAGGAATAATAATATGTTATTATACATTTACCATATTATAAGGTTAAAAGATAAAAATAATTATAATAAACTGTTGCGTCCTAAAATTAAATATTCTCAACGAGCAGTAGAGCTATTTAAAGTTTAGCATCCTAACTTTCTAAAAAGATTCAACACACAAACAGGTACAAGAGATGGGTGCATCAATCACAGGAGACACCAAAGTTTTTACGTAGAAGACTCTAAAAAAGAAAAAAAATCATTGGGCCTGGCCTAGTTGAAATGTGTCCACTAATGTAGGTGTTTGATTACAAATGATGCCCATCCTAGAAAGAGGGCGCCGGCTTAATGTAGCAAATATACACTGTATATCTTACAATACATAGTAGAAGAATGACATTATAGTTGTTTTTAAAAGAATGTTGATATGTTCATTTGATGAGTAGGTTAGTAAGATCGTAGTTGAAGGACAATGGTGGTTGGAAGGACTGTAGTCGGCAGGCGACGGTACGTGGTCGTAAGGGCCATAGTCTGGAGATGTTGGTCGGAAAGACCGTGGAGGGATGGAAGGACCGTAATAGGTGGCGACGAAGGTCGAATGATTGTAGACGCGTGATGACTGTCAGAAGGACCATAATAGGTGCCGACAAAGGTAATTGACAAATTTTGATAATTTGTATAATCATTCCAAAAAATAGTTACTTAAATTAAGTTTTAATATATAAAATTGACAAACATTATGATAAAAATATAAAAATTTAAAACTATTGTTGAGTTGTTCACTTATGTTGTGTTATTTTTATAATTGAAAATTTTAAAAGATTATACTCTTATTTTATCATTGTGAATTTTAGCCCTAAAAATCGAAGGAAAATAATAATTAAATTTTAGTGCTCAAAATCTCGATAAAACTTTCGAACTAAAAAAAATGATGAGTTGGTTTCTCTTCTGAAGCCATTGAGAACTTTTCTTTCCTAGGTCACCATATTTCTTTGTGTATAAACTCTTATACACTGAAGCAATCGCCACCCTTGATGTTATCTTGTTGCAACAATGGTGAAAGGTTCCTTCAATACTTAGAGAGAGAGTCTGTGAAAAAAAAGAGAGTAGGAGAACTATAAATTTTTCTATGTGATTGCTATTATGACCATTACAAATTTCATTAAGTATAATTATTTTCAAATTATCAAAATTTTCTATATTTTAAGCCATTGTGATAAAAATTATAGTTATTTTAACTAACGTAATATATTATTAAAACAGTACAGAATATTGCCAAAATCACTACACATTTTTTTTTTTAACAATAGCGAATCGAAAATCAAGAAGTTACAAATCAAAACTTTTTCACGTTCTACTCAAACACTCCAAGGCACTTGAAAGGGAAAAAAAATAGCCTGCGCTCCACAAAGCATGGCGATGCGTTATTTTTACTTAACAAAGTTAGCCAACATAAAATCTAGCACCAGCAACCCACCAGTTGCAGAGCTCACTGAACCTCAACCTCAGTAACCTTGCGCTCCACATTAATTTTCGGAACATCGACGATCAACACCCCGTTCTTGAACTCCGCCTTCACTTTCTCCTTCACGCATTCCTCCGGCAGAGCCACCCGCATTTCGTAGACTCTAGAGCCGCTTCTCCTCCATCCTTCTCCCCCTTCCTTACTCTCACCGTTCTCTTCTCTTTGCTCGCTTCTGATAACCAGCACGTCATCCTCTACAAACACCTTCACCTCCTCCTTCGACAACCCCGGCATGTCGAATCTCATCTTCAACCCCGCCTCATCTTCCTTAACATCCCATGGCGTCCTGATATCCCCCGTCGATGTCCCAGGGAAAGCAAACGTGTCCTCGAACACTCTGTCCATGGCGTCCACCATCTGCCTCATAGTCCTCATCGGCGACAACGAACCAACGAAGCCTGCCAGGAAACGTTCAGGAAAAAGTTATCACACTTCGGATGTTCAGCAAGCTGCAAGATCTTACCGAAAGGAGAGATTTTGATAGCAGAGGGACGGGGAGTGAAAGTGAAGCGTTGTTGGACGGCCGAGTTGTTCTGCTTCTGCTGCAAGTCGCTTGATGATGTGTTGTTGTTATCCCCTGCCTTAGTGCTCTTCGAAGGGCGGCGACGGATTATGCGGGATAGAGAAGGGAAGAGAGACATTGACCGAGGAGTGCCGACTGGTTTCCTCCGCCACACGAGGGGTATTGTGCGAGAAGATTGTTTCATCGATGCAACGACGGCAGCGGCCATGATCGGATAGGCTTGAAAGAGAAGGAAGGTTATGTGCAGGGTGGATAGAGTGGTGCGGTTGGGTGTTTTTTTTATGGAGTGGGGGAGGGCGGAGGCGAGAGAAATCGCGAAGATGTAAAAGGGTGGAACTTGAATGTTCTCGAGTAGTTGCGAGCGTGCGGTGGAACACATGTGGGATTCGGCACGAGGCTGAATGTTTCACATATATTTGTGCACAAAAAATGAATTTTATGAAAGTTAAATTTAGTTGATAAAATTTATATATATTGACACCGGATCGGAGGGGATTTGACGAATCCACATCGAAGAACTCCGATAAAGAATCCATCACCGATGAAAAATCTTAGAATACAGGAATTCACAAGAGAGTAAAACTCTAATTTTCTTACCTTCAAATCTTCCTATTATAATTAATAGCTAGATATTTATAGACATGTATTAACATAATAGGTTACAGGCAATCAAAAGCAAGCACTAAACCTATGTAATCATATAAGCTACCATAAAACTAGCATGAAGTTAATACAATCAAACAGCTCAACTCCGTCGTCATATATGTAACCCTTTAAAACGTTATATTTACATATTTAATATAAAATTTCACACTGAGTTAACCTACTTAATGTTATTCTCCAATGAGATCCCACCATGATTTTTCCAACTCTATTTTGTTATCAATGAACAATATTTTTTAGTAAGAGAAAATGAAGAAATGAGATTTACTAGATATAAAGGAGTACTAGTTTAGCAGATAAGAAATTTTAGGGGTTAAACATAAAATAAATTTAAGAGTTTTGAGTGTCAATCTTTATTACTAATATTTTATATCTATATTGAGATTATATCAACTTTTTATTTTTACACATTATTTAAAAATAAAAACGCTCTTCATGATCCTAATTAGTTGAACAAGCTAGCCATTGAAATCAATTATGCGTTGTAAAAAATGCCACTATTATAGAAGTTCAAAAATACATGAGTCGCTTATCAATGTATTTTTCACAATATTTTAAGGATTTTTTACTAACTAATACTAAAAAAAAGGAAAATACTTAACTAAAAAGTTATTTACTAAAAACTTCCTCAAATGGCACCTAGCTAACAATATGTTTATGATAACTATTCTTCTGATATAAAATTAAAAATTCTTACACACATTATTTACATAAACTTTGAATTCAAAATCTCTTAATTAATAGCCCAAATTCTTAACCAGCAAATCAATATGAGCAACATTTTTTCTTTATTCCCTCGTTACTTTTATGGTCTCTATAAACTCAAAAGTAGAGGCTCTCTCGTATGAATGTTGATTCGCAGGCAGGTTTGCAAGCACACCTAAAGCCCATGGAACTCGTGAGCTAAAATTACTTTTACATATTTATTATAAATAGTTTAAAGGTGAGATTTTAAAATAAAATCAATGCTTTTGATTTGGGCATGACTTTAACCCAAAATAAAAGATAATTTTTAGTTTTTTTTTTTAAGTCGCCTAATTTGGGAAAAACTAATAATTCTTTTTTACTTTAATACATAATACATTTTAAAAATATCATCAACATCTTATATAATGAGAATTATTCTTAAATAAAATTAGGTTGAAGTATGGATGATTTGCTTGAAAAAAAAATATCAAAATGATGTAATTGATTAATCATTCAATTTCTACAAAATGTAAGTTGGAGTTGCCTTGAATTTGGCTCGACCCATATTTGTTCATATCCTTGATCGTTGTATGCTTCGTAGATATGTTGGGAGTTCAAGGGGGTAACAACCCTTGACGGGGTTCGACCTGCGGGGTTTTTCGAGGGCAGCGCCCCCGGAATAAATTTTGGTTGTAAGGATATTTTTGTATCATATAGTGTGTGCAATTTTTTTTATATCAACATGACACGTTTAACTCAAATTCGATTCATTTAACCCAAATTTGAATGATCATTGGGTCGATTTTGAATTTTTTAGCACAATCCGACCCAAAAATTAATCAAACCAAGATTTCCAAACACGAAAATTAATTGGATCAATCCAAATCCATATTTTGACATTAATCTGCATGAGTGGAGACTCAAGCAAAGTTATTTTCAGGGTTACACTTGCAAGTATTGCTTTAACTAACAAAGCATGCGACTTCATCTCTGTATACATATACAAATTGGTGCTATTTCAATGTACATGTCAAATATAATTGCTTGTGCAAGCTTCTTTTTCTTTTCCTTGCAAGAGATCATCAATAAATCTCTTTCGATTTCTAGGTCTTAATTTCTACTTGGTTGTTGGTGCTTTTTGTAAGTATTTCTTGGCCATTACTTTACTCCATTAGTTCATAGAAGATGGTGAAAGACTTTCTACATATTTCTCATTCATTCAATCAAATCATGTATTTCTCTTTTGAATGAAATAATTTCAATTCCCAGTATTCTTTGAAATGCATGCTAATAACAAATATAAATATGGTTGATTGATCGCTAGCTTTGTTTTTGTTGTATTCATCTGTCATAAATTATTTTGTGCGGAGTTCGGACAATAAGAATCGTCCGGATTGCTGCGTATTTGTAAAAACTCAATAAATATGCAGCAAATCAGCAAATGTTCAGTAAATACTCAACAAATACTTTGCAAATATTCAGCAAATACTTAATAAAAACTTAGCAAATACTTAGAACTGAGTATTTGCTAAGTATTTACAAATACCAGCAAATCCGAACGATTCTCCCTATCTTGATTTCAATCAGAATAATTTCTCATTCATTTGTACTACAATTTCTTTAAATTTTTTAACTACAACAACAACAACAACAACATCAAGCCTTTATCCCACTACGTGGGGTAAATTTTTTAACTATGACAGAAAAATTATTTTCCTCATATTGATTAGTGAAAATAAAATAAGCTCCATAAGATAATAAAATAAGCAAATTAAGAGAATAGTGATTAGCTTTGCTGATTGACCAATTAATCATACTGTTGTTTTCAATGCCTCTCTCACAGTTAACTTGTAGAAAAGGATCTCTCTTTTTACTTCAAGCAACCTCAACAGGTTACTATGACACTCTAAAAATAAAAAATGTTGGTTGTTGAACTAACACCACATGACAACATCAGTATGACAGGGCCTTAGACATTTTCAGGTAATTTTAACTAGCGGAGATATTTTGGAGGTTTAAAAACTATATAGAACAATGGCTTAATCAAAGGGAGAGAGGATCTTCTTCTTTGTGCTGTAACAGATTGGTTTGAGTTTTCAAATGGTGAACAAGATAAAAGAAAAATGATTTTGTATATGTTGTTGCAAAGAGATATTGAGAGAATTTGATGCAGAGCATCATAATTCCCCTGGTTTTCAGCAGGACTAGCTTATCTCTAGTGGCGTTCTTCACTTCGTCTGCAGCGTTGTTATAACAACCTCGTTCCTTGCCACTATCATTCACCTTTTTAGTACTATGGGAATATGATGAACTTTATTAGCTCTTATAGAATGATGTGTAACAATATATATAAGCCGCGTGCTTTCACAGTAGAGGCAAATTATAGAATTATGGTTTAGACTTGGAAGCAGAAATTTAGAACTTCCTGTTGTTCGGCTTGCTTGTTCTCTCCCAGCAGCTGCCGCCAATCTCATCTGGATATGTCGCTTATGTAGTGACTTCAACATTTCCTTGCAGCAAACCTCTATTTTCTACGACAATATCTCAGCAATGTCTATAGCCAACAACCCAATTTTTCATGCTCGGACCAAGCATATTGAGATCGATCATAATTTTGTTCGTTACAGCATTCAAGCCAAGCACATTGTTGTACAACACATTGCCACCAAAGATCAAATCGCGGACATGTTCACCAAGGCTCTCCATGTTTCCAAGTTTCAACTCCTTCGCACCAAACTAATGGTTGTTCCACCCATTCACTTGAGGGATGGTGTAAAGCATACAACATCATCCACTCACACTGAGCACCAACTACCTACTGCTACTGCAGCTGCTCCAGCCGAACGGCCACGGGCTTCTCTTTGCTAGCTATCAATGGTAGTTTAGTCTTTTTTATTACGTACCATCAACATGTGTATATATAGACTTGCATTGCTACAGTAAAGAGCGTCTGTGTTCTTCCATTTACTTGAAATGAACTGCTCCTTTCTTCTCTGTTATTCTCCTTGGATGAAGATCCGAGAGGATCTCTGCTTTTGGTTTCTCATTCTCTGTGCAGGTTCTCTATCGACTACCACGTCAGAATTAGGAGGCGACAAGACACAAGGAGCAAAGGAGGACGGTCCCCATGGTCCTTTTCACTGCTGTATCTTTTATTATAATTGAAGTATTGAACTGAAAGATGGTTAGGAGGAATATATTATTGTAAATTATTCAAAATTTTGATGCAATATTGCTTTGTATTTTATATGTTCACTTAAATTATGAGGAAGTTGGGCCTATTATTAGTTTCATTGACTTATTTGCTATATGGCAGCATTCTTCACCAACAATTGTTCACTTGTTCTGAAGTATTATCACATCATTTGAGCTGTACGAATCTCTGAAATCAACATTCTTGCCACATTTGTTAATAATTACTAAGGATTATTCATCATCAAATCTATGATAGAAGAACCAAGTATCACAATTAGTTTTCTCTTCTCTTTCCGGCTATGTAACAGATTGCATATGCGCTTTTATATTGGGTGTAATTTCTTCTTGTTGTATTTTTTTTTTTTCCAATTTTTGTTTATTAGTGCTATCAGAGGAGCTCGGTAAATGCATTGCAACAT